CTGCAAGCACCTTTATACATTCACTGGACATCGAGATGCTGTATCGGTGAGTGTGATGGGAGAGGCTTGTTGGGGGGAGGGAGGGTCTGTATGAAAAATGGTTTTGGGTACAGGCAGCTTCTAGCACCTGGACCCAACCCACTGACCCTGACATTGCTGGGCAGTGTCAGTGCAGAGCTGGGCCCTAGAGCAGAGTCACTTGGGGAAGTTTGGCCTGTTGCGGGCTAGGGGAGGGGGCTTGGTACTGACCAAGGTTACAACAGCTCACCAAAACTCCTTAAGTGCTCTTTTGGCTCAAATAATTGCCCACCCCTGGCTAAGACCCCTGTTTCTCTAGGTTGTGCCTCGGGATGCCTTGTCTCTATGGGACCTCTGTTGTTTTAGTTACAGGAGAGGCTCTTGGAAAATGAGGAAGGGCTGAGTGTAGTGGGGTGGGAAGGCAGTTGCTTCTGGACCTTCTCACAGTGCGGTCTGTCCTCTTGGAGAATTACATTCTGAGTTGGTCTCCTGTTTGAACCCAAGCTGCCTGGCTTGCCTCATTTTGAGCTTGTCTTTCTCCCTGGGAACATGTGTTGTGTGCTTGACAGCTTAGTCCCTTGGAGGGTTGAGGAGCTGAATGTGCCCCTGTTCCGAATGCCCTGATGAGCTCATACTGTTAACTTCTGGGAGCACTTCCTGGCCTTGGAGAGGATGGACACTGGTGGGCTGGGGCATTGGTGTGCCTGTGCCCTGGGGAATGCTGACCCACTGACAATTGCTCCATACTGCAGTCCTGTCTGCTTTTGTGCCAGTCTGCTTATCTCGCTTGCTGCTAGTTGTCCTCTTTCTCTCCTGCACATAGGGCCTGTCGTTTCGGAAAGGCACGCACCAGCTGTACAGTGCCTCACATGATCGCTCCGTCAAAGTCTGGAACGTGGCAGAGAACGCCTATGTGGAGACACTGTGAGAACTGAGGCCTCTGTGCCATGGGCTGGCAGAGCTGAAAAGGCTGAGTAGCTTCCAAGGGGGCTCTAGAAATGAAGAGCTGGGCTTTTGCAGGTCTGGGATTCATGGGCAGGGCATCCAGAAAATTGGGGCAGCAGGGTGCACCTTATTTATTTGGTCCCCAAGCTGCTGTCTCTTGGCCCGTCTGCCCAACGAGTAGTGTAATACTTAGGTGTTGCTGAGTTGTCCTGTTCTGAGAATGTGACCAGCGGCTCAGAAACCTGCCTCGGTGCCAAGCGCCTTAGTGTGGCTACCTTCGACATCTGTGCTCTCTCTTTACCACATCAGTTGAGCTGCACAGCACTGCCTGGCCCATAAGCCCAATAAGGTGCAGCCAAAGGCCATGCTAATCCAGGAGCACATGCAACAGGCCTCCACTGTGCCATGCCCATGAAGGGAGGAGATTCTCTTGGCCATGGAGCTTTGGCAGGAGAGGGGTGAAGCTGCCAAGCTGGGCTCCCTGGATTATTGAGGTGCTCTTGGGACACATACATGAGAGCTGACAGTTGTACAGCAGGCTGAGGATTCATACTCCGTCCTCTTCCTATTTGACCACAGGTTTGGACACCAGGATGTCATCACAGGACTGGACAGCCTGAGTCGGGAATGCTGCGTCACATCAGGTGGGAGAGATGGCACCATCCGCATCTGGAAGATCCCTGAAGAGTCTCAGCTTGTGTTCTACGGGCACCAGTAGGTCTGAGAAGCCCTAGCCCCTGCTTAGGGTTGCATGCCACGCCTGCGGTCTGCTCTGCTTGTGTTCTCCATCTCTTACAGCAGTCTCCCTGCTAGTTGCATCTTAGTGCCCCTGACTGTGCCATGCTGCAGAGATGGGATGAGGGTCTGGACTCCCATTAGCCCATTATTACCCTCAGTTCCTTTCAAGCTGGGGGTGGTGGACGTCATGACTACAGCATCCTCCTTTAGCACATGCATTGACCATTGAGTGGCATGTGATGCAGATGGTACGTGCTAGCCCTTGGTTATATCAGCAGTACCACCCGATTCATGGGACTTTTGCTTTGAGCTTGCTGGAGTGCCTCCAGAGTCTTGGGAACTCTGGCCATGTTCCCATGTCTGAGCAGCATATAGTAGAACAGTGCCAGGCTGTGCCAGATGGACTGATTCCAGGGACATAACTGGGAGTCACAGGGGGTCACACACAGTTAGATGTCTGTTGGGATCAGTCAGTAAAAAGGGGGAGATGTGCACTTCTTGGAGAAAACCGAGGGAAGGCCAGTGTTTCTTGGGCTGTGTCTCTGTGTAAGTGTCTGTTAGGAAGGCCTCTTAAGGAACATGCTGAGTGTGTCAGTGGGAGCTGGCACTGTGCACAGGTAGTGCCTTCTCCTTTTAGGAGTTGCATCAGAACAAGCTAGTCTAGGGCTCTGGCATCTGCAGGGAAAGAGTTTGGAACAGCAAAGGAAAACTAAACAAAGTCCCTTTTCCTTGCTCCCTTTCTTCCCAGGGGCTCCATTGACTGTGTCCAGCTGATCAATGAGGAGCACATGGTATCTGGTGCAGATGATGGGTGAGTACATGTGCTGGGGCTGTGGCATCCTGGCACTTTAAACGCTGGGGCCACTGTCTCTGGCCTCACCAGCTGTTTCTTCTTTCAGGTCTGTTGCCCTCTGGGGTCTTTCAAAAAAGAAACCACTTGCAACTGTGAGGCAAGCACACAGTAACCATGGTACCCAGGGACTGGAGCAGCCGTATTGG